GGCGGGAGGGGGGAGGGGGCGGCCCCGATGTACACTGCTGTTTATAGCTGCCATAGGGCCCAACTCCAACTCAACACTGTAAACCATAATCAAAACGACTACGCAGCGACGCCGCGTTCTAGACGAAAGATTCTCACACGGACGCAACGTGAACGGGAACATAACATTTAAACGTCTAACGCGGTTTTAAGTCCAGATGCACTGTGGGTTGCCTGTTTTTAGGGGTTTTGTAGATCGGATAGCCTACCTAACAGGCGGTGTCGTAAGAATCGACAAGGGGGCGATTTAGACTGCCGGGGAAGGCCATCGCCACCACCACCACCACCACCCCCTTGGGAAGTTTTACTTCTGACCTGTGACCTTTTGTAATTTTTATTTGCTGGTCATGCACTTCAGGACCTACAGTATTGGCGCATTTAATTTGTCCATTACTGCGCCTACGTCAAATGTGTTTCAATGCGCTCGATGCTACTCCGGATAGCCACACATGTTACCATGAAAACCTTAGAAATTAAAAGACAAAAGGGTTTTAGCAAGCTTTTCTCAAGGAGCAAGGAGTAAGTTTCAACGTTTAGTTTCAAACGCTTAAACCGTCCCGCGCGTCCTGCGCGCCCGCTCCCGTTTTACTCCCGTGTGCTCAACTGCACGACAGAGGCCAGAGGCCTTTGTTACCGTCGTCTGAAGTGTATTTTCATGAAAACTTCTTCAAAACAGATGCAAATGTTTTGCTTTTTCGTGGGCTTGACGTCTCAGTTCCCCAGAACATTTTCATTGGAGTAATATTTTCTCCAAGTAACAGGTCTTTATGCTTGTTTTAGTGCCCGAGGATGTTTGAGGATGTTATGTCCTGTTTGCCGCAGAGTGACTTAACCTAGCTGCAGGCGTTGGAATGTCAAAATTGACGCTGTTTTTCACCTCCTCCCGAGGAGGTAAAGAAATTTAAGGTTTGTTCCTTTTAATTTATCAGTTAAATTTCGAATTCCTTCTCATTAATTTCATTTTTCGACGATTTAACATATTCGGACATTTTCTCTTCTTCTAGCCCTTAACAGGACTTAAGGTCTGCAGCAATTATGATTACAAAAACAATCATTTCTTATTGTGGTAGATTACCCACACTATTTGCTATTCTATTTATAGCAACATTTTGCCATGCTGAGAAATACAATCTTTTTGGGAAGCCTGGTGATGGATACTATGTAGAGACTCTGATAGGAACACCACCTCAAAGTGTAAGCACTGTCACTGCAATATTTTTATTTGTTTTGTGTCCCATTTTGCTTTTATATAATTCTGTTTCTCTATTATTTCAGTTTAATGTCCTTGTGGATACAGGCAGTACAAATTTTGCCATAGCAGCAGCTCCATTCCACAGTGTGGACTCATATTTCAATCAATCTTTGTAAGATAGTAGCAATAATGTTTCTGGATTTTAAAAAAAATAAAAAAATCTGTCATTCCAATAACTTATGATTTTTTTCAGATCAAGTAGTTTTGTTACTCAACATGTGGATGTGTCAGTTATGTACACTCAAGGCTACTGGAGGGGAGAATTGGGAAATGATATTATTGAATTCCCATCATTAGAGATCCCGGGTATTAGAACCGCAGTTGCTGCTATTCAAACGTCCCATAATTTCTTTCTGAACGGCTCCATGTGGCAGGTATGTATTTGTTATATGATTTCCTGAAATAATGTTAACAAATGTTGTCCTTAATTATTAATAGAAAACCAAATTTTTTGACTATGTTACAGGGAATTCTGGGTCTTGCTTATCCAATGATTGCCAAGCCTGATGACAAAGTAGTTTCCTGGTTAGATTCATTTGCTGCATTGAACAATTTTAATGTTGCATTTCTACTTGAACTCTGTGGATCAAAGGATGGTGAGGACACACATGTTGGCAAATTTGTCATGCTACACACAGGTAAAGCTTTAGAGCTCAGGATGGTCGTATGTCCTAATTAAAGTTATCTTATGTTTACTTATCAATTTCAAATCCTGCCAGATGATACACCACAACCTCCAGTTTTGCGGTCACCTATTATCCGTGAATGGTTCTATGAAATTTTGTTGACTAAAATTGAAGTAGGTGGCGAATCTGTAAAGCTACCATGTCACGAATTGAACACTCGTCGAACTATTGTTGACAGTGGTACAACCAACCTGCGTTTACCAGAAAAAGTACGTTTGTTGAAGAATATTTATAACTCGTGGGCAATACAAGGTTTACAAACTGCAATCATTCTGAATTTGATCTGTTTTCAGGTATTTAACAGTGTTTTAGAACTATTGCATAAGCAAGTTGCACAAAATTTGTCAGAGGAGTTTTGGACTCAACAGAAAGTCACTTGTCTCCATGAAGATTCTGACCCCCACCATCTAGACCTACGCCACTTTTTCCCCAATATTCGTCTATCACTAATGCAGACTGAGCATTCTTATTTTACCCTAGAGTTGGAACCAAAAGTAAGTTGAACAACAAGGTTTTGAATTTTGTTATTGGTGTTAACTTTTATGCATTTTAGTTGGGGGTCTGACAGAAAAATATTGTCTTTACTTGCAGTCTTATATTCGAAGAGTAGAAGGACCTGATCATTCTTTCTGCTATAAGTTTGGTATACAGCCATCAGATTCTGGATCAGTGCTTGGTAAAAGATCAAATTCATTTTCTTTGTGCTTTTTGTATTTTTTGTGGATAGCATAACACATTGTTGTGTGTTGAATGTTTGTAGGAACCGTTGTCATGCAAGGCTTCAAGGTTGTTTTTAACCGTTCTGATAAGACTGTTGGTTTTATGAGATCACTTTGCGGACCATCAGTGAGCATCTATGGTCCAACTGAGGTTAAAGAAGGTAAATGTATTTAAGTATTTTAAGCTTATCTTTTGCTCAACCCTTGGCTAGATTTTACAAAGATTTTTTTTTTAATTTGTAGATCTTACTAAATGTGCTCATCAACCCATTTCTCCAGTCCTGGGTGCTCTATCTATTGTAGGATATGTTGTGTCAGGTAATTATTACATCCATGATAATTTTTCTATCTATTAGATTTATTTCGGAATTTGAGTGATTCTTTATTCTACCCCTTTTTTTTCCAGTTTTGCTTGGTGTGGTTGCTGTCATAGTTGTGTACTTTCTCATAAAATGGTTATGGGAATCTTACCTTCAAAGACCAGACTGGAGCTCGCTTAGTCAATCAAATCTACTGTCACAAGAGTAAATGACCGCAGAGCAGCTACCGTAATTGGTGCAAAACATGCTTTTGAAGTTGCGATTCAATTACCTGAAGTTGTGCTTTCTTAACCTTGATATCAAATATGATATTGCAAAGTGATATTATTCTTTAGTTTTTGTTTTATAGAAATGGCATAGGGCTATAAGTCATTCAGTTATGGCATCCCATCTCCATGTAGATGCTCATGTTATTTTTTTTATTCTAAATGACAGCACCTGTTGATAATGCATTCCATTTGCATTGTTTTTCTTTATATTTGGATTTCTTCCTCTTCTTTTCAGTACATTCATGATACACAGAAGCACAAAGGAGGTGGTTTGGTAAAATTAAGCTTCTTCCTTTAGTGGTTTTCTAGTCATATTAATTTAGGTGTTGAAAACATAATGAACAAATTTTAGCAATTGTTTAAATGTTTTGTGATCCTCAATTAATAAGAAAAGTGCACTGTACTTTCAAACAATTAATTGTGTTATTTATCAGAGTGGCATTTCTATTTTCTCCATTACCATCTCATACCACCATGCTATGTATTAAGTTAAATATGTGTTTGTTACCAAGAGATTTCTGCCAAATTCAAGGCAGTAGTGATTTATATCTGATTCTCTTTCTATTTGACTGATTGCCTAGTCTGTCTCTAGATTCAATAAGGACTGAGTTATAAACAACTTCTAATCATTCATCATTTTTTGTTGATCAATTGTTTGTCGTGTTGCTGTCAACTGTTAACATACCCAGTAAAATTTATTTAGTATAGTTTGTACTTGAGGACTTCTTTTCCCCCTTTACTTTTTTACTGTATTGTTTACCAAAAGTAAATTTTTACCAAAAGTAAACAGCTTCGTGACCTCATTTGTGTTTTCTTATAGGACACAATGTTTGTACTTTCAAGTTAAAACTAAAATTGTCTCTTGGTTGTGCATTGTTCAGCCCGATGTAGATTTAAATTGTTGAGTGCTTATTATCTGACTGTTAAACTATTAGGCATAGTCTTTAACTGTAGCTTTTTTTTTAAATAGTTTTGTCATACTTTTCCAAAAATATTTTGTTGTTGTTGTGTTGTTCCTGTTTTGACAGGTAATTGTTGCTTTACCTTTTTACCTTATTACACAGGTGTGTCATATTTTGCATATCGATTTGAATTATTTCGTCCCTTTTTATCTTGAAGAAATCGACGAAATATTTCTACCTTTGTGATTGCCAATGCGTTTTTGATTTTTCTTCCTCAAATCATTAAGTTGTGCCAAGCTAATGTACGGTGTATTTTTGGTGAAACAGGGTATACGTCTGAGTTACTAGTTTAATGTCTGTAATTATTAAATTGAATGTCTATTTAAATGTTCTGTATGTGTACTATGCATGTTTCTAAATCTCAGAAAACAAAAATAAAATTTGTGTGATAGTCTGATTTTGCCTCTCAATTGAATTTGTCTTACAGTGAACAGTGGGACAGTTTAACAGACTTCCTAAGAACATCAACACAGCCAATTAATCTGTACCTTAAATTTCGGCAATGCCGTTGTATTCTCTTCCCCTTTTGCAAAGAGTGTAGTTTGGTGGTGGTGGGGGGGGGGGAGACTCGGCACTAACCCCCTTCCACCTCCCCTCTATTTCGCCTCCCAGACGTCTCATCACGTCAACTCTGACTTCCATGACCCCCGCATTATACTTTATTCCAGAGGGGATGACATAACTCGTGCAGAAACAGCAGTTTAGTTGTCGGGATGGCGCTGGTCGGGGAGGTGCTCGGGCTCGTGTCCGCCGCCGTCGGCCTGCCGTTCTGACCTAACGTTTCCAATCTGAAAAACAGATCTGATGTTGCGATTTTATTTTTATTTTTTATTTTTTTTACCAATTTATTTATTTTAAAAGAAATTAGAGTTTTATTTTTGAAAGGACAAGTCCTTCTCCGTGGTGCGTTCCACTAGCGCCGACCGCCCGGAACCCCTCTGAGCAAGAGATCAGGGGATGAGAAGATGAAGACCAGCTGAGCAGCCCTCCGTCGCACGCGCACGCAGGGCTCGCATGGCGCGACGAGGCGACAAGGGGGTACGTACTTGGGGGGGGGTGCAAGGAAGAAAGTGATCGAATAGAACAAACGAACGAACGGAGCGTCGAACTCGCCGTAAGAGCCAATGAGGTCTGTTCGACCACAGAAGGACGTTTGTTCACGCGTTCACTGCCCGTTCCGTTGGTTCACCGGTCTTGTTCCTGAGCACCCTCCCTGGGGGTGGGGGCTTGTTGCTGCGTGGGCCCGCGGCCGCCTCCTGGCGCACCCCAGCCGCCGCACCGCACGCCGTCGCACTGTCGCACCGAGAGTCGCACGGTGCTGTGCGGGAACGGGGACATCCAGTGCCGGGGGGCCCGACGTGAGACCTCTTCGCGGACACATTTCAGACGTTTCGATTTCATGTTCATGTTCAACGCGGTGGATTTCGAGAAACGTGCTGGTCGAAAGGACTCCTCTCTCCCTCGAGTAGCCGCCAAGATGTGCGGTCCCACTGATGCACCGCACACGTCGCCTGCTTGACGTCGACACGACCTGTCACCGGGACCGTCTCGCCCTGCTTCCCCTTGACACGGGGCGTGATCGCCCACGGTGGCGGCCGTTCGATTGGGTCGCGGACGTCGCGCTGCTGTCGCCGATGACGTTCGCGGTCGCGGAGGAGTGCGCCGTCGGGCAGGGCGTCGCGCCCCCGCCGAGTGGGGGTCACGGGACGGGACCCTCCAATCCGCGGAGGGCAGCGGAGGGCGCACGACAGTGCGGAGACGAGCTCGAGAGCAGTCCTCGACGGGGACCCCGGCCATGAGCACGCCGCCCGGGAGGACGGGCGCCCGCGTCGAGGCGTAGAGGGCGCGACACGCCGCCATGCTGCTGGTGAGTGGTGTCGCGAGGGTCATCGTGGAGGGTGCGGATATGGTCAGCTGAGACCACGGCGCATCGCGGAGGTGAGGGTTGGTCACAGAGGCCACGCCGCAGCAGGTGAGTGTGGTGCACGTCGTCGCGGACCTGGGGGACCCACGTCAGGGTGCCATCGTGACGAGGTGCAGGGCGGATCACCGAGGCCACACCGTCACGGTCCTAGAAGAAAAACTTTATTTTTTCTCCGCTGCGGGTAGCTTCTACTATTTTTTCATCTGCTGGAGGAAAGTAGTTGAAAACCGCGGAAAGTATAGATTATATTTTGAAAGTTTTCCGTCTGCGGGGCTCCGCCACAGTGGGCTCTGGCCCGCGGGCCTTGTTAGGGTCGATGCGGTCGGAGATGCATTCGTCGTCGTGCCGTAGGATGACAGAGGACGCCGCGTTTAGGGGGTTTTATGAAGCCGGAGCACGCCATGCAGCCCGAAACCCCCCTACAGACTCGACCCCCCCTCCCTCCTCCTCTCCCCAACCCCACCCGGCCCGCGGTGCCGCACGGAGGTATGCAAGGGGCTGCATTGCTGGCGCATACCGCTTGCCATTTTGTTCAAGGGACAGCTCACGCAAACACAGTGCCCCCCCCCCTCCCTTCCAT